CCCCAAAACCCCAAAACCCCAAAACCCCAAAACCCCAGGATTTATAAATAATATTGAAGATGAACTTCAGGAGTCTCAGAAGATTTTCCTCTAAAATCCCAGCAATAGTCACAGATATAGACGGGGTTATGATCAGAGGTGGGGTTCAAGTCGGAAACTCTGCCAAAGCAGTAACTACTCTTAAGACACCCTTGAAACAGCTAAATCCAACAAGATTTGGCCATCTGAGTGCTGAAAAAGTACCATTTATTTGTCTTACTAATGGAGGAGGAATGATGGAAGAAAAGAAGGCAGAATCAGTGAACAACATCTTGGGCCTCCAAGCCCCATACGAATTCCGTGGAGAAGACATGGTGATTTGCTCCACTCCCCTCAAAGAGATAGCTTACAAATATGAGAACGAATATGTGGTTGTCTCTGGATTTGGAGACGTAGTGAATGTTGCTTATAATTATGGGTTCAAGAAGGCTTTACATATACATGAGTATTCTGCCTTATTCCCTTTCTTATCCCCCTTGACTACTAAATATAAGGACCAAGCTATTCTTGATGCTCATCTTGAAGCCATGCAGAAGAGATTAGGATCTAGTTTTGATATTGCAGAGGTACAGAAGAAAGGAGTGTCATCCATCCCAGTAAAAGCATGCATCGCTTTTCATGATGTCAGCGAGATGGAGGAGAGTCTCCAGATCTTCTGTGATCTTATAGTCTCCAAAGATGGAATCCCAGGATCTAAACGAAGCATGGCAGATCCTCAAGTAGTTGATGTATACACTACTAACCCTGACTTACGTAAGTTCTAATTCTCTGATAAGTATAGTCTACTCGGCAGCCTTCAGTCTTCAGAGATTTGGTCAAGGAATCTTTGAGTATTGTTTAGAGGATCTGTTTAACAGAACATATGGCTTTGCACCAGAAATCATTCAGTATGGAAAGCCAAACAAGAACACTTTCCAATATTGCCAGAAAATCTGTGAAAAAGCAGCTTCTAAGGAAGGATTAGGGATCAGTAATTTCTATATGATAGGAGATAATCCTCTCGCAGACATTAAAGGAGCCAATCAGATGGGCTGGACATCTATCCTTGTCAAGACAGGTAATTACCAGCCTGAAGAAGGACAAACAAATGATCTTGAGAATCCAGCTACTCATGTTGTGGATAACTTCTCACAAGCAATTGAACTCATACTTGAAGCTGAGAATATTCTTTAAATATAACCATCAATATCTGGATTCATGATGGGGTTTTGGGGTTTTGGGGTTTTGGGGGTTTTGGGG